GCCTCTCTACACTTACCAAAAGTAAGTGGACACCCAACACTTAAATGCTCCTTTGGTTTGTCCACAAACTTTTGGCCACCACAAACAATAAAACCCATGTGTGGCTTCAGGTCTTGAACTCTCCTCCCTGGAGGTTTTCGGGGCTCTGCAGGACTCCACTTAGCTTTTAATGTTTCTTTACACACACACACACACACACACACACACACACACACACGTTTACTTATGTCACTAATGGGGGACAGTACTGCTACTTACATTCACTTCATGGAGACTTACCTTAACCTTAAACCAGTGGCACAAAAATCCGCTTTTTTCTAACTAGCTGAGCAGCTTTTGTCCCCAATTAACTGGTCTTTAGTCTGAAAAGTGTCCCTGCAGTTAGCCTAAGTCAGACACACACACATGCACCACAACAAAGACGCCACAGGGCCCTGCTGGGGGTTATTTAACAGGGTTTCCCCTAATAGAGACACAGCTGCTGGATTTGTTTCACACTCACTTTCTTTGCTGTGAAATTCGAGGAAACACCGAGTGAAGAAACACTGTGGAATTTACATTTAATTAAATAAGAAATAAAGGCTAAATCTGCTGCTCCCGTCTCCCACACACGTCCTGGTGATTCATCTATTCTTTAAATTTGTCCTGATGGTGGCGCTCTGGAGCACTGGTTCCCAAACTGGGGACCCGAACGCCACTAGGGGTCGCCAAAGATTCACAGGGAGTCGAGACGCTTTCTTTATTTTAAGGGTTGTAAGAAAACTTTTCATTAATTTCTGTGATACATTATTATTTTTAAAGTTTATATTATTATTTAAAGCAGTTGTTCTTTAATGGACCTCTTTAAACTGACTCACTGACTTTTTATACAATTCTGTCCGTATTATGTATTTTTTATAATTTCTATCAATCACATATTTAATAAGCTTCCTTTCTGATAAATTAAGTGTTTTCTTCTTTCTAACATTGTTCTGTTTCATTCAGAGAACAGCTGCATCATCTCTGTTCACGTTACATAATCAGCTTCAGTCTGCTGCTGACGGACAGAAGCATACAACAGGACCTGATACAAACATTACAGAACTCGTCTTCTGTGAGGAACATTGTGGAACATCATTGAACACCACAGATTGTGATCACAGAAATATGACACAGGAAGCAGAGATTGAAATCAAAAAGGATGTTAAACTCACAATAAACTCACTGAGACAACCACAGACACACTGCAGCAACATTAAACAGAGACCACAAAGTCACTGTAAACACTCTGGGGCAGTGAAGGCAACACGCTGCCTTTGGAGACCCTCATGAGACTCACCTGCAGAAGCTTCTCGTCTCTTTAAAGAAATGGTTCAGTCGTGGTTTCCTCTGCTGTTGTGTTAAATCCGCACGTTTGAGTCTCGTGTTTCCCGTCCTGGCAGGAGGAGGGCAGGGTCCTTGAGCTGAAACAGGACCAGGACCAGCAGGAGGATTTGTACATCGGTGACACAGTGGTAGAGAGTCGTTTCTTATTCTACAAATTATTCTTTGTTTCAGACACCATAGAAGAAGACATTAACGAATGACTACTTACTTTAATACTTCAACTTGTGAGGAAGTATTTCAGAATAAATAATAATAATCTTATAATTAATTACTCATATAATTCTTAAAGTTGCAACAACATCCATAAAGTGTTCCAGCCCTCTGCTGCCCCCCACTGGCTGCCCCCGGGTATCACAGCTCACATTGTGAGCAAACACATAAACAACCTTCAACTGATGCAACACAAACACAAACAATAACATACAAATAACATTATTTAGATTTCCAAGCTGTGTCTACACTCAGGTATTTGAAACATCTGATTTGCATAATTGTGTATTTGTGTAATAAAAATGTAAGCAAATCTATAGAAATGTTTTAATAATTATTAATAACCAGTTTTTATCTAATGTATATTTTATTTTCCATGTTTATTCATTATTATTATTTATTGTTATTCTCTCCATTCATCAGTTTGATCTGCTAAGGTCAGCTGTAATGTAGATTGGTGGTTAACTATTGGCTATTTGTTTATGTATTTTAATTTCTCTGGAAAGAACAGCTTTAGTAAATAATTATTCTTTTTTATTGAAAATTCTTCATTGAATGTTTTAATACGTCCTAGTGTGAGGGTTCACATTTTTGCAATGATAAAAGCAATAATGATGATGATATTAATTATAATAGCGAGGGCTTGGAGCCAGAGGGGCGTAAGTGGCATTTTGGGTGAATATGAGTTCTTAATATCAAAATAAAGGTCTCGATGAGCTCTATCCAACGGTACCAAAAAGACCTATCTGAGATCAAACTGGAACTGACATAGAACTGTCTGAGGCAGAAAAGATTTTGATGAATATTATGAAACAAACTGATGAAGATGAGTCAGAGTTGTTTTTGAATGTATTTCCTCACAAGAGTGATGACAGTAAGACATGCCTTGAGAGCCTTACCTTGTTAGCCTAGCCTAGCATGACTAGCGTTAATCCCATTGTTTTGGTCTGATCTGGCTAATTGTGCCTGCTAACTAGCCTAGTGTTCTGACATAGAATATTCTTTTGAACTTTCTCATTTACATTAATTCACATGGCATTCATGTTCCAGGAAGGAAGGTGAGGGAGAAGAACTGTGCCTCTTGTCGTTACAAATGCAGTCAGAACTTCCCAGAGCCAGTGAGGGAAAGTATATTTCAACAGTATTGGGAGATGGGAGATGCAGCAAGGCAGAAAGACTTCATTGTCAATCACGTTATCAAAAGAGTGAAAAAATCGCAAGAAGAACTCATTTGTTTATTATCTAACCTTTGAGGGAAGACAGATAAGGGTATGCAAAGACTTCTTTTTGAAGACCCTTGATGTGTCTGAGAAATTTGCGAGGTCTGCAGGCGGCCATCCGTCTAGTGAATTGGGAATTTCCCCTCCAAGCAAGAAAGGGCGGCATGCACCTCAAAACAAAGTGCCTGAGAGTAGCAAAGACAAAATACGAGAGCATATCAAGTCTTTCCCAAAACTTGAATCCCACTACTCCAGGAAAGATACAAACAAGCTCTACTTGGAAGGATCAAGAATGTATGCGCTGTATAAAGAGAAATGGAGGAACAGGAGTGGAAGATTAACCAGAAAAACAAAGTCTTTATAGAATGGTGTTTGACACTGAGTTCAATCTAACTTTCCACACTCCAAAGAAAGACGCGTGCAAATACTGTGAATGGTACCGACGTTTAGAAGACAGTGAGAAGGAAAGTCATAAGGATAACTGATGCCCACCAGTTAAGAAAAAAACAGGCCAGAGAACATAAAGATAATGACAAAAGGAAAGCAAAGGAACAGGAGTCATACAAGGCTGTCACTTTTGACCTGGAGCAAGTGTTAACCACCCCCTGGAGCAACGTTTGTAGCCTGTTCTACTCACGCAAGTTAAGTACTTACAACCTCACTGTTTATGAAATGGACAGTAAAGATGTTGAGTGTTACATGTGGCATGAGGGGGAAGGCGGCCGAGGATCATCAGAGATCAGCACTTGTGTTTACTCGTACCTTTCACAACTTAATCCTGAAGTCAAACATGCAGTTCTTTATTCAGATACATGTGGTGGACAGAATAGAAATGCTGCCTTTAGCACAGTGTGCCTGCATGCAGTCAGCACATTGCCCCTCAACACTATTGACCATAAGTACATGGAGTCTGGTCACAGCCAGATGGAGTGTGACAGCGTGCATGCTGCAGTGGAAACTGTGAGGAGAAAGGTTCCAATCTACTCCCCTGATGGCTACTACACCCTTGTGAGAGTGGCAAGAAAGAACAACCCATACACCGTACATGAACTTGGTCACAAGGACTTCCTGGACTTCAAGTCTTTCTCCAATCACGTACTCAAAAACAAAACCAAAGATGAGGACAAGCAGTGAATTGGCAGAAGATTAAATGGTTTCGCTACACAAAAGAAGAACCCAGAACAATCTTCTTCAAGTATGATTTCACTGACCCAACCTTCCATGAACTGAAGGTGGCAAAGCAGGCAACCAGGGGCACCAGAAGCACCCATTCCGTGTCCAAACCAAGCTCAATGTATGAAAGCCCTCCTGGGATCAGTGCATTAAAGAAGAAAGATCGACTCACCCTGTGCAGCAATGGGAGTATTCCTCACACATACGAGTTCTACAATGCTCTGACAGTGGACAGTGAGTAGTGAACTAGTGAACTAGACTAGTGAACAGAAAAGCAAATAAGACGCGACATGATTGTTTGGATGTGGTCAATGAATAGACTCGCAGAGTAATTGAAATGGTTGTACAAAAAAGAAAAGTGAAATGAGTAGAAAGAACACGAGAGAACTGTCAGTTGTATACAGAATTTAGAAAAAAAAGGAATGAATGTAATGAAATAAATTGAATAACTCATGAATTGCCAATCAGAAGTGTGTTTAGCAAGTTCAGTGACTTTATTACAGTCTGTACTGTTCAGCAGATGCCCAGAATGGAAAAGTGAAATGAGAAAAAAATAAAAATAAATGAATGAGTTAAAGGAAAATTAATTACTTATTCAAGTGTTAATTAATCAATCAGTTCCCCTTTTGACCAATTATTTTCTGCATTGTTCAGCAGATACGCCCAATATGTCCACAGACTTGGAAATGTTTGGTGCCAAAAAGGCGTATCTGATGTTTTTGCCATATTCTTTGATTTTAAAATGTTTTAAAACATATTCATTGTGTTAATATGCCATGAGTTTATTACTTAAATACTCATTCATGTAAGTATGCCTGTGGTTGCAATGTTTGTGGTTTAAAGTTTATAATACAGTTGATTGAAGTGTGGTCAAAATTTTGTTTTGTCTCTCCTGTGAAGTTTGTCAAAAGCCGCTTACACCCCTCTGGCCCCAAGCCCTCGACAGTAACAATAATAATAATATAAATAATAATAATGATGATGTTTTGCTGCTTCAGGGGTTCGGTCAGAACAAGAAATCCTTCCTCCGTCTTACACAAGTTCACATTTTATTCATGAAAACATTTTTAAATCCAGAACACAAAGACAAGAACAGAAACGGTAAAATATTTTACAGTGAACGTCAGTTGGGACATGATGATGTCATATTTAATACAGAGGCACAGCTGTTGCATCATCGCTCCTCTTCATCACTTCTAACACAAAGATCACCTTCGTCATGATATTTAAACACTTTTAAAATGATCCATAATTAGTCTTTTTACATTTTAATGCCAGAAATCCTTTGTCCTGCTGCTTTGGAATAATGCTATGTGTGTGAGTGAGTGAGTGAGTGAGTGAGTGAGAGAGAGAGAGAAACATTTGTGTAAATGCTAATGATGGATCGTCCTGGTGGCTCGTACAGTCCTCTGTGCTGCAAACAGCATTCTCACTCCTTTTTCCAGGACCTTTCCAGGACCTTTTCCAGGAGTTTTTCTCGACAGCACTCACTCACTCAAAAGTCGTATAATTTGACTGCCATTAACAATGAAGTGTCTCCGGTTCATTATGACAAAAAGATCCCTAAAAACACAATAAACATTCTTCAGGACAACCCGGATTATTTCCAGGGTATTTGGTAATTTTAATACTTTTCCAGGTGTTTCCATGATCGGAAAACTACTCTCTAAATATACAGATTGTCCAGGTGCGTCCCCTCTCTGTCCCGCCACCTTCCTGTCACTCTTCCGTTGCTCCGCTCTAATAAAAGGCCATAAAAAGGCCCAGACACTATCTTTATCTTTAATCTTAACAAGAAAAGAAAAGAAAGAAAATTATAAAAATTCTCATTATAATGTCTTTTAATGTCTTTTAATGTCTTCTTTTGTCCAACCAAGGGTCCAAAACCCAAAGAGACTCTTCATTAGGATCATAAATGATTCACATTAAAGCTGCAGGAGGTAACTTTAGTAAAAATAACCTTCCTCACTGAATCCTGACAGTAGAGACAGATCTGGTTCCTCTGGCTCCTCCTGGCTGGAAGTTATTATTATAAAAGTTACCTGCAGCTTTAAGAGGCTGTAAAATGGCCGAAGCGATGAATCAATTATCAATAATTGGCAGCAAAGTGCTTTTCCTTCGACTTCTTGGTGCAGCTCTGAGCTGTGACTGAAATCCTTCAGTGAGTCTGTTAGTGGACCTGCAGGGCGGCTTCCTGCTCACAGCTGGCGCCTCCTGGTGGTTGACTGGTGGTTATGCACTCTGTGGACCTGAAGACTCTGCAGCAACAACAACAACAACGACAACACCTGGAGTCACCAGAGGGCTGAGAGTCGGTTACACACAGCAAATACGTTACCATAGAGATTTATTCTGTGCAGCTCCAGAGCAGGGTCCATTAATCCGGTAGTTTTATCTGTTCAGTGACTGCGATCGTGTTTTTAAACTTATTTAATGTTCTACAGGTCGGGCTACTCACATTCAGTTAAATGGAGTTTATTAAGAATGTAAATATAAAGGCATATGACATTAAAAGCTGTGGGTAATTAATAATAAGTCGACGTCGACTCACTTCAAAAATACTACACTGGTTACTGAATGAATATACAGTTTGCTTACAGACTGCTTTAATGTGCGGCTTTGGAGGAGGCTCGTTAATGAGCCGACTATCGGAAACCAAACGGTTGCTTTACCTGGTAAAATATCCACCGTCTTCCTCTCTCTGTGTGTTTCTAAATGCTAAAACGAGTCGCTGACTGTTGCACCGGCGGCCCGCCACAGTAAATGTGTTAGTGAATATGTAACAATCATGGCCGACCAATCGCAGCAGCTTCACCCTCCACCACATATTAACCGTATATAACGGACACACTCCCGCTCTGGCTACCTGTGTGCAGCGTGCTGATCCGACTCTCCTCCAGTGTTAAAAAGAAGCTGCTTTTCTCTCCGAGGTCGGAGGTCACAGCGTCTCCGGACCCCATCTCACAGGTCACCACGGTGATGGGTCCCCTCCCTGCCTTCAGGCTGACCTGGATGCAGTCCTGCAGTGAGGAAATCAGATCTTTTAACATTAGTTAATTATCCAAACAACCATGACGGTCTTTATCGATGGACCAGGAGACAGTCTACCTCTCCGGGAGCAGGAATCTCCAGTTTAGTTTCCTCTGGAGCTTTCACCACGATCACCGTCTGCTCCTGGAAGCCTCGGATCCGGCTGACGTCCTCGTAGGTCACGTAGGCCGACGTGAAGGAAGGTTAAAGAAAGTTCTGTATGAACTGTGTTTTAAAATATCCTATTTCTGCTACCGGGTGAGTATCTCTGATAACCTTTTTCACAGCAGATAGTTGGGTTAACACAGCTGTTATCTAACAATAAATAAGGTTGAATGTGAGAGGATATGCAGAGCTTTCCACGTCGTCCGTCATGTCGAAGAGCTGCCTGGCGCAGCTTTTGATGAGGCCGTCCAGCGTGTCCTCCACCAGCTTCAGGTTCTCCAGCTCGCTCTGGGACTTGAGCTGGTTCTTCCTCAGAAAGCTGGAGATCGGACACCTTCCTCTGCAGGGAGAGCGGTCCGAGAGTCAGACAGCAGCAACCCCTCTAAACAGGACTATTCCCGCTTTTTATTACATGTTTAATCCTATTTTTATATATATATACACATATATGGAGGCCCTCTTTAATAAACTACAGATATGAGGGGAAACCAACACGCTGACTCACATCCACTTGATCCTGTTGGCCGACTCCTTCTGGATGAGGTTGATCCCGTCCAGGACGTTGGTGATGTCGTACACTCGCCGTTTGTGCGTCTGCAGGCTCGCGGCCGCCTGCCGAAGGTCCACGGAGCCGCCCGGCGCCACCAGCAGCAGCTCCAGGAAACGCTGAGTCAGCAATCCCAGCAGCCTCTGAGACGTGCCTGAACACAACACACACAATCACACACAACAAGACAACATTTAGTTTTTTCTGCTACAGTAAAATATTCAGTTTCCTTTTTGTTGTTGAACGTCTCAAATTTATGATCAAAGTCCAGGATTAAATATGATAACTGCTTTTTATTTCCAGTTAACCTGCCGATATTTCTCTTAATTTATTTATTAATTAAGTCCGAGGTGACGTCTTCAAATGTCCAACAGTCCAAACAAATGTTCAAGTTCACGGTGATATAAAACAAAGAAAAGCAGATAATCCTCTGACTGAACTATCAAAAGAAGCAGCCAATTAATTCTGCTTATTAACTAATCAGCGCCTTTTTTCTCAGCAGGTTTATGGACGTTTATTCCAGCTGCAGAGATTCATACATTAACAATGTGACTACTTTATAAATATGGGAACGTAAAACAAAAAATTACTGTTTTTTTTTTTCATTTTAAAAGTGAAAAAAATTAAAATTAAAATACGACCATATTTTAATTTTTTTTTTCCGTTTTGGGTTTTAAAAAGAAAAATCAACACATTTCCTGTTTTTTAGGGTTTCAAATTAAAAACAAAAACAAAACAAAACCATAATTTTTTTCTTTTCTTTTCTTTGATGTATAAATGTTAACCTGTAAACCTGATTTTGTTTTTCACATTTCAAAATAAAACCCCGTTGACTGAAAACCAAAGATTAAGTTTAAAGTCATAAATGACGAAAGAAACCAGAAAACATTCACATTTAAGAAGCTGAAATCAGAGAATTTTTGCACATTTTACCTCAAAACTATTAACTGATCATCAAAACAGTTGCTGATAATTGAACAGACTGTGAACCTGAACGCAGCACTCACCCTGTCCCAACTGTCTCCTCTGTTGTGGGGCGGCGCTGGAAGCACACAGACAACAACATGAATCAGACTGAGTGTGTTTAGTGAAGGAGCAGTGAGCGGCTGGTTGAATATTAAACGTTGGGTTACCTGGTCCGTTCAGCCTCTGGAGGATTCTCCAGACCTCCACCTGGATCCTGGAAACAAATCACTTTATTTAAACACTTATTTCTTTATTACAGACTATAGACGGCAGACAGACCCCGGACCTGCTGCAGTGGATCCGGTGCATCTCCACCTTCATCTTCATCCTCCTCCTCTTCCTCCTCTTCCTCCGAGGACTCGGCTCCCCAGGGGCTGATCAGGCCCCGCGGCCCGTCCAGGTAAGGGGGCATGATGGGAATGACGTCGCTGGTGACCCCGCTGGAAGAGACGTCCTCCGGCAGGAAGTGGTCCTCGCAGATCATGTGACGCTCCGTGGAGTCCTGCTTGTCGGTCTCCCTCAGCGCCGCCAGCCACACCTGAGCGAGGACAACGCTAACGGTTACTGTCAGTATCAAGTGATTATTAGTTATCTTCTGCAGTCAGCTGACCTCTGCGTGTAGAGCTGCAACGATCAGTCGACTGATTGGTGATCAGTTAATAGTTTTGAGGCAAAATGTTTAAATTCTCTGATTTCAGCCTCTTCAATGTGAATACTTTCTGGTTTCTTTCGTCCTTTATGACAGTAAACTGAACCTTTGGGTTTTCAGTCAACGGGTTTTTATTTTGAAAAGAGAAAAACAAAATCAGGTAACCTGTTTCCTGTTTACCTTTTATACTATAGAGGGTATGCTTTCTTCCATATTTACGCTTTCACAACATTCATGGCAAAGTCCATCGAACAGAAACTAACATTCATCCGCCCTCATTTTTTTTTTTCTGTGCGGAGCGACACGCCTCCCTCATTCCCCCCCCGCCCCCCCTCATTCGGACTGAGTGGCAAAACAAACCGCCCACAACATGTCGAAGGATATCGGTTGACAATCAAACGATCAAAACAAACTGACGTCAGTTGGACTCGACGATGATCCCTACGAGCTCCCCAAACCCATCTGGTCCACGGACACTGACACGTGGCCAGATATCGGGTATCCGGACATTTATATGTACCTGATGTCAACGCCAGGGAAATATACCCGGCAAAACCTAAAGGCAAACAAAAGCCTTGACGCTCGGTCATTCTTTAAGGCGGGATTTGTCGGTGAAATTAAAGTGACGAGAACATCGATGGATATCCCTTCAGGTCAGGTGGTTGACAGCCCGAGTCCCATCAGCGGTAGAGGTGACACTGAATAAACTTGGTACATAGTCAGGGTGTAGGGCGTCATCACTCTTTTGTCCTGAAACAAACAAATACACATGGTTGGTACCAGCGAATATACACATACAACGATTAGCACATTTAAAAATCGATTAGATTGAAACAGAATCCAAAACTAAACATCACAGCCGAAAACAAGCTGATAAAAAGTCAGTTTACGGTCGTCTATATTTTACCAAAGTAATACTTTAACACGATGTCTGTATTTGTACTAAAGTATGACCTTTGGGTACTTCGGTTACCTTACGTTAGCCCGGGTAATGAATGAATACAGGGTGATGAATATAACTAAATGAGAGATGCCAACATTAAGAGCTTTATTATAAGATTTTTTTATATAATGATTTTGCCCGTAAATAAAACAGCATAATTTAACGTTACCTGACGCCTAATGTGAGCGCAGATCCAGGTGTCGGTGGCCGGGTACCAGCTGTGTCTCCGGATCGCAGCGATCCATCGCCGTCTCTTTGGCACAGCAGCTCCTCCCCATGGTGAATATCCAATATAACTCAATATTTAAAATCTTGCCGGCGACTTCCGCGTACCGTGACGTCACGCACATACCCTCTATATACGAAAACATGTCGGCTTCTTTTGTATCATTTTATCTCCAAATTTATGGAAATAAATAGTAGTTGGGGAACAAATACCAAAAATATTAAAACACTTAATTTTTTGTCGTATTTTTATTTTCAAAGTTTCAAAAGAACATTTATTTTATTTTATTATTGATTTAATACATTTAATTTAAAAATGTTAAATAATTTAAAGTTTACATTCGCAACCAATTCCAGAAATTAACAAATATTTATAACTAATGAATAAAAATAAAATAAAAACTTTTTAGGGGCATTAACTGATATACCGGGTATATACCGGGTATATACCGGGTAAATCCCGGTACCCCGGTAACGGTTACCTTGACTCGAGCCGGGTCTTTGGGGAAGTGGAAGAACCGCTTCGGTGTTCGGTTCAAGAAGTTCCGGTTAACGGTCACCATCCGGTTCGGACACCCGGAGACCACACACTTCACCATGGCAACCGTCGGTGCTCCGCTGCGACCGCGAGCCCCGTTACTTTCCGTGAAGAGCAGCTGAAACACCGCGCGAGGTTTGTTTACGTCGCGTTTCCGGTTTTCACACCGGAGGCAGATGTTTGTGACCCGGATGTACAATACTGGAGGGAAAGTTGTTTTTCTTTTTTCTTCACAACTTTATTTATAAAAAAATAAACTACAGCGATGATCTCACCTTTGTACTTCTAAAACTTTTTATTTTTTATTTTTTATTAACAAAACACAATTTATTTTAACATACAGGAAATAATAACAGAGTGGAAACATATAAAATAAACAGTCAATTCTTTATTAATGAGAAAAACATGCTCTATGTTTCCTGTTTGCAATATTACAAAACAAGAGTCCACTTCTTTGTTAAGGAATTTAGCAACTGATTAAACCTTATTGAAGTGAGTTTCATTGGACAGAACATTAACAGACATTATTAGTCCTAGTTAACAAAAATGTTGTAAATAAATGTAAAGTTTAGAGTAATGTATTGTGTGTATTGTTAACCCTTTAGGCGCCGGGTTTTATTTTGAAAAATACTAGATTTTGACATTTAAATTTCAGGAGGCTCTGGCTTGAAAGTGGTTTGAGATAGAGACAAAAAGTAAATGAGACCAGGCCATATTGGATTATGTAATTTCCATGAAATACCTGATATTTTGAAAGAGAGTTGAACTGATTTCATCAGATTCACCCCCCTCCATCTATTTATTACGTTGTCTACATATCAAATGAACAGGGAAAAGTAAATTGTAAGCCAACAGTCGTAAACTAGAACTATTACTACCACAAAACTCTTGTAAACAGTAGGCCACCCCCCCTATTGGAGGACACTTTTTCTTTTCTTTTTTATTCTCTTCTTCATTATTATTATTATTATTATTATTATTATTATTATTATTATTATCATCATTATAATATGATAATAATAATAACAGTAGGCGTCTTTTAGCTGCAGAGGCCTAATCTGATCTATCCAGATAAAAGTTTGTAGTATTTGTAGAGTGTGGAACCTCTCATTGCAAGGCACAGTACAGAGACAATATGAACAATATTGAGACCCCCCCCCCCCACACCACCATAGCCTAAGACACACTGCTGCATCGGATGGCTGCACCACTGCCGCGCATGGACGCACTGTGACCGGCGCTGTAGAACGAGTGAACACTAACGCTGGTCCCAGCACTATTCTCACCACCCCCGCTACTTCTACCACATCCATTAGCTCCCCTACTGATACTACAAGTTTGTGTAGTACTCCCACCTATGTTGGGCAAAGGGTCGTGTGTTTGTGCTTGTGTGTTTCCCTCGCTCTGCCCGGCAGCGCCATTGCAAAGACGCACCGAGACTATCACGCTCACTAATCGACCGGCCGTCATCTCCCAAAGGTACATTTTCCCCTTCAGAATCAGAGTCAGTGAATAGGAGACCCATCACTTCCCTAAGCGTCAACTTTTTGCTTGCCATTTTCGGGACGAGACCAAAATAAATGGCTTTAATCTTCTGGAGCCAGTTGACAAAATGAGAAATGTGTTTTTTAGTTATCCTTGTAAATATAACTTTTATAGGGATAAAAGTGATGAATTGTTTTAAAAGTCACTTCCTTGACCTCATTTAAAATAAATCTGAATTCTGAGCTTTTTGCTCGTTTACTTACTTTTACACGTGTTAACCTTCATATCCGACATTGTAACATTAAAGGACAGAAACTCAATAAAAGCATAATACAGTAAAACTTAAAAAGAGTCCCAATTAGATGCAAGTCTTCCTTTTGAACTTATCTGTGTGTGTATAACCTGTTTAAACCTTTGTTATATATAGACATGGTACACATCATTTGATTTCTCCACATTTCAGTCGCTTGGTTCATTTTAAGTAAACTATGAGCACCCGAAGTATAATTCATATTTATATTCCTTTAGTCCGTAAGGGTTTCACTGCTCACTGTCCTGTACACTGGATGTCGCAAATTGGCTGAGCAACAGTTTTGTCTCCAATAAAGGCAGCGTGAGTTCAGTGGTTTAAGCAAATAAATGCCGGGGCTATTATTAGAGGTTTAATTGTAGGTCCCAGAACCTTTTGGTGGACAGTGCACACAATAAAATGTCCACACTTCGATTTCTTAGTCAACATTTTAACCAGAATCTTGTAAATATATATCGTTAACTTTCTTGCCCTTTTTGTGCTATTCTTCCTAGTGATTTTAAAGCATCAGGGTTACTCTCACATTTCTTTGTAGCGGGTCTAAATATCAACAGTGATACTCAAATTGTCACTCAGACAGTTGACACAGAGACAAAGGAGCTACATTTCAGGATTCCAAACGCGGGACAGGGGAGCTCGGTGAATGTGGTGTTGAAGGTGTGGAGGTGGATTGGTGTGTCGAAGGAGACGTCGTAGAAGGACAGAGTGCCGGCAGGTTGGTCTACGTACACCGCTACTTTGTTAGAGATGGAAGAGGACGGGAAAGGGATGTTCGTTGCTTTGTTATCGTGCCAGACGGAGTAACGTTTTTCGGAACAGAACAGACTCCAGGACTGATCGTTCCCTCCGAACCTGCTGTCGAATCCTTCTCCTTTTCTTTTGATTCCTCTGTAAGTCACCGCTATGTGAACGCGTCCTTTCCACGCAACTTCCCAGTAGCAGCGACCGGTCAGACTGTTCTTGCACAGCAGCTGCTTCCAATGGTCAAATCTCTCGGTGTTATCAAGATATGCTTGTTCCTTTCTCAGCCATGTGACCTTTCTGTTGTTTTCAGACAGTTTGAGGAATCTGTTTGCTGTGTTTGGGCTCAGGCAGAGTTCACAGGCATCTGATGGAGAGAACAAGAACACGTCACAATAGGTCTGAACCTGCAAATTGATGCTTGCGGTAATATTTGTTTTACTTGTTGGTATGCTTTTATTCAGCTTCACATGTATATCACAACTAGCAGAAGAAATATTACAACTAATCTCTTAAAAAAACTGCTTCCATAAATCAAACTGAATCCACACTTACACTTCTTCAAGCCAGGTTTCAGTCTCTGTGCTCCATCGTGGTCCATACTGGAAGAAGAAACACAGACATATATTGTCTTTTATTATTCTATATTAACAGAAGCATTTAATAACCTTCAGTAAAGTCGAGCTCAATGTTCTCATTGTGAGATCTGTTAACCTTTTAGTTTTTTAGTACGGTCTAGACCTGCTCCATTTGAAAAGTGCGCTGCAATAACTTTTGTTATGAAATAAAACTGAACTGAATTGAAGACCTACTTGTCAATAAAACCAGATCTGTTTCTGACACCGACTAAGTGTATTCTGAACTTTGATGAAGCAACATTAATTTGTGATCTGGAGAAACTACACAGAAATTTAAAGAAATAAATTGAAAATGTACCATGCCTATTTAACAGTATACACAAAGAAAACATAGTGACTGTATGGGACTGAGAGAGGCACATATTCCGGTTATTAGAAGGGAGTGCTAACTGTCAATTGTCCATACCTAAGAGTGTCCAGTCTCACGTCTGAATCCTTCAGTCCAGCAGACAACGTCTTCTTTCCTGAGTATCCTAGATGATTGTAGTTCAGGTCCAGCTCTCTCAGATGGGAAGAGTACCTCAAAGCTGAGGCCAGAGCAGCACAACCTTTCTCTGTGACCTGGCAGCCTGACAGCCTGAAGATAGACAGAATATCATCATTTTGTTGCTCTGTGCTCCAATAACACTTGTGCAAGCCTCAGTCAGAACCTTGCTCAACTTCCAAGTCCCTCCCTGGAAATACATAAATATGAAGAAATAAATAGCGCTCTCATTTCTGTTAATAATAGTGTTATAATCCTGACCTGAGCGTTTCCAATCTACAGTGTGGACTCTTCAGTCCAACAGACAGCATCTCCACTCCTGAATCTTGCAGGTTGTTGTTACTCAGGTCCAGCTCTCTCAGACTAGAGGACGGGGAGCTGAGAACTGAGGACAGAGCTTCACAGCTTCTCACTGAGAGGTTACAGTCAGTCAGCCTGAGGAAAAATAAGCAATTAACACAAACAAAATGAATAATTGATTTAAGACATCCAGTAATTAATCCACTTACAGAGCTTTGTTGGAGGCTTTGACCACTGGCAGCAGCCTCAGAAGAGCCTCCTCTGAAGCAGAGTATTTCTTCAGGTCAAACACGTCCAGATCTTTTTCTGATGTCAGTAAGATGAAAACCAGAGCTGACCACTGAGCAGGGGAGAGATTATCTGTGAAGAGACGTCCTGAACTCAGGGTCTGTTGGATCTCCTCCACTAGAGAACGATCATTCAGTTCATTCAGACAGTGGAACAGATTGATGGTTCTTTCTTGAGACAGATTCTCACTGATCTTCTTCTTGATATACTGGACTGTTTCCTGATTGGTCTCTGAGATCCTTTCTGTTGGTGTCAGCAAGCCTTGTAGAAGAGCCTGATTGGTCTCCAGTGAGAGACCCAGGAGGAAGCGTAAGAACAAGTCCAGGTGTCCATTTTGGCTCTGTAAGGCCTTGTCCACAGCACTCTGGTAGAGATGTTTTAATGTATCTCTAAATACTGCAGACAACAGGTAGATCAAAAGTCCAGTCCAGGAGGATTTGTCTGCCAGAAGATTGACTCCAGAGTTGATGAATGTCAGATGGACATGAAGAGCGGCCAGAAACTCCTGAACACTCAGATGGACGAAGCAGAAGACCTTGTCCTGGTAGAGTCCTCTCTCCTCTTTAAAGATCTGTGTGAGCACTCCTGAGAACAATGAGGCTACTTTGATATCGATGCCACACTCTGTCAGGTCTGATTCATAGAAGATCAGGTTGCCTTTCTGCAGCTGCTCAAAAGCCAGTTTTCCAAGAGACTCAATCATCTTCCTGCTCTCTGGACTCCAGTGGGGATCTGTCTCAGCTCCTCCATCATACTTGATCTTCTTCACTTTGGACTGAACCACCAAGAAGTGGATGTACATCTCTGTCAGGGTCTTGGGCAGCTCTCCTCCCTCTCTGGTCTTCAACACATCCTCCAGAACTGTAGCAGTGATCCAGCAGAAGACTGGGATGTGGCACATGATGTGGACGCTTTGTGATGTTTTGATGTGGGAGATGATTCTTCTGGTCTGCTCCTCATCTCTGAACCTCTTCCTGAAGTACTCCTCCTTCTGTGGGTCAGTGAACCCTCTGACCTCTGTCACCATGTCAACCAACTCAGGAGGGATCTGATTGGCTGCTGCAGGTCGTGTGGTTATCCAGAGGTGAGCAGAGGGAAGCAGTTTCCCCCTGATGAGGTTTGTCAGCAGCACATCCACTGAGGTGGACTCTGTAACATCAGTCAGGATCTCAGTGTTGTGGAAGTCCAGAGGAAGTCGACACTCATCCAGACCATCAAAGATGAACACAACCTGGAACTCTTCAAACCTGCAGATTCCTGCTTCTTTGGTTTCAGTAAAGAAGTGATGAACAAGTTCCACCAAGCTGTACTTTTTCTCTCTCAGCACATTCAGCTCTCTGAAAGTGAATGGAAATGTGAACTGTATGTCCTGGTTGGCTTTGTCTTCAGCCCAGTCCAGAGTGAACTTCTGTGTTAAGACTGTTTTCCCAATGCCAGCCACTCCCTTTGTCATCACTGTTCTGATTGGTTCATCTCTTCCAGGTGAGGGTTTAAAGATGTCTTCTTGTCTGATTGTTTTTTCTGGTCTGTGTGGTTTTCTGGATGCTTTTTCAATCTGTCTGACCTCATGTTCATCATTGACCTCTGCAGTCCCTCCCTCTGTGATGTAGAGCTCTGTGTAGATCTGGTTCAGAAGTGTTGGGTTTCCTGCTTTAGCAATCCCCTCAAACACACACTGGAACTTCTTCTTCAGATTGGATTTGAGTGTACAAATCACTTGACACTTAGCAATATTCTCTGAATTGATAAAAAAAAGAGATGACTCAAATTAGATAATGCTACAATAATTTGTTTTGTGAAACTTCATAGTACAACATTTACCTTGGATTTAAATACTTTTTGTATTTTGCTATATTACAGTTGCGTTTCCTATAGTATGCACATGTTTGAATACAAGCTGTCATAAGAAGTTTACAATTTTCGACTTCTGCGTTTACTTTCCATGTAACATTACCTTTACAAAGAAACTGTGCAGTTAACAGCTTTCAACAGTAGTGACAAACTTAATGTGAAACACAAAACCCTTTACTTGAAGACAGTCGCTGTCTTTGGATATTGTCAAATCAAATGACTCAAATGAACACTAAGATCAGCAGTCATGCAAGCTGTCACAGAGTCACTATGACTTGCCACCGTGCAGTAATGGTGGCGACACTAGATGTTGGAACAAAGTGGGAACCTATCGTAACGTCAGCCATTGGTTTGTGGAGTACCATTTGGAAGCCATGAGTTTGGGGTTTGGGTGACAGTTGAGCTGCTCTCATTGGCTGCTCAGTTTCAAGCAGGAAACAATGACGACTTGCCTGGTCACACGCGATATCATATTCCAGCTAAACAGTACACTAAATTATGCATACCCTGCTTTAAGGTCTATTTTACTCTAAATGGGACAACAGTGTACTAAATGAAGACGACTGAAACTAGAGATTGAGACCATAAACTCATTAGGAAACTGTTTACTGAGCTCACAAATCAAGTGAGAAGTCGGCTCATTTCTCAATAAGATTGAGTGGTATAGGTGTGTTATTGCAGCCAAAGGAGCTGCCCCCAGCTGGCCGTTACATAGAATGCAGCTTTAACACACTTCACAGACTCGGAAGCTCTGTCCGTTTTATATACTGTCAATCCCCTGATCTGTGTGTTGTATTTATTGTCATTGTGGTGAGTATAAATGAGTACAAAAGTGTTGCATGAATAAAATATGAATAATATGTGAGCTCTGTCTTTGTTACGTCCCTTTTTTAACAACTTACCTATAGGTCCTGATGTGATGATTGATAAATTCTTCACTAAATCATTCCTGTGTATCTTTGTTAAAACGTTTTTGGCCACTTTAATATGGTCTGGAATGTAGGTGTGCATTATGAGATCCACTGTGTCCGTCCTTTTAGCGTTCTCCAGTTGACTTGCTGGAATTGCTGGGAGGTCCTTTAGGCTACCCTCTTTGCCCAGCCACCACTTTAATGTTTCAAAGTCCTCAGCACTCAGTTGATTGAAAGTTCGTAAGAGGACCTCCTCATCTGTCGCCATCTCGGTCAAGATCTAGAAGATACTGAAAGAAAATCTTTTCCTTTAACTTAACTTCAAAATGTAATTATTTCTACACCTCTATTATAGGCATTACTTGGAGAAAGTTTCTTTTGTTTTAAAGTTTTTGATTATTTTGAGATACTAAGTCAGTCAAAGTACTCACCTCTACACCTCTATTATAGACCCTTAAAATCTAATGCAATCCATTACAGCAGCTTAGAAACACGTCACCACTAACTACAACTGTTCACTTTACACCTCTTGGAAAGTTTTGAGAAAAACTGACCGTTATAAGTTATATATCATAAAGAGCAATATCAGTGACTGAAAGTAACTATTTCGATTTATTGAAAACCATCACAGTGTACATTATCTGTCTCCTCAAAGCTGTCTTCTGGGGGTTAACTAGATTATCTTGGTTGAATAAGAAACTTTGAGTTCAAGAATTTCCACATAACTTTTGGCCATGAAACAAATTTACAGAGCTGGATTTATATCTTGGCAAATATTATCAATTGAATGTATCTCTTAAGAATAAGAGATACATTTTCCAGGGTTACCACTCATTTTAGTGTCTGAAGACTTTATTTCAATAATAGGTCAGAAAATATCACTTATGAGACTAAAACACATCAACATCTAAAACATACAATAACTGTGGCTGGTGGAAAAAAACTTTATATGAATAAAACAAACACATGTCCTCATAAAGTCCTGTGCACCATAACGAGCTACGGTTGTGCAACTTGTCCTATTACTCATACAGAGAGAGAGAGGGAGAGCTAGAGGAAGTGTGCATGTTAACTGAAGTGGGTTACATTAATAACCCCCCTAATGTCACTGTCTAACTTTCTCTCCTCGTGCTTTTCATGCTATTGTAGTTCACTAGTTGCTAACCTGTTTCCTTAAGGGACCCTTTTCTGTTGTTTAGTAAACTGAGTAAGTGACATATTTTATGGATATTTCATATTATATTAAAAACTGTACAATAAACCCAAATAGTGAAACTGCCTAATAGAACAAGGAAACACGGACTCTGTCAAAAAAGAAGCCAAAGAAGTCTGTATCCTTGGTGTAACCTGACATTAGCAGGCCTAGACAAATATATCCGGACTGAAATGATGTGGAAAGTGGTTTTTAAATTGTTTTTAAAAAGAAGGGCAAATTCTTCACGAATGGCAACCTGACACAGTTCCGACCAGCCGTGAAAAGAATATGCTCCTGAGTCTAATAAAACACAGATGACTAAACGTTTATAAAGACTTCATTATAACTGTGATCAGACAGTAACCGTGCTGTTTGAATAACACTTGAAGTAACTACAGAGCTCACCTGGGGAAAAGAGGAGCTCCTTCAGCTTCACGTCCGTTTCATGGGGATGTGTGGAAGACACTGACGCTCTGAAGCTGGTTTCATTTCTCTATAGCTGCAATAACAGCATGTCATGTTGTGTTTCTGCCTGTCTTCACATGCAGAGAGAGCTGTGATAGTTGAGAGAGGTCATGATTGACTGAAAAGAGAAAGAGACAGAGAGAAAGAGAAAGGTGTGAAAGCCCATTTCAGCCAATGTGACAAAACAAAAAAGTTTTTTTTTTTTTTTTTAATTTTTGTTATAATGAGAATCAATATATTGAGAACATTACTCTTTATTTTGAGATATTAAGTCATTATTTTGATAAAAATCAGGATCCTTTTCTTCACTGGTGGAAATGGGCTTCCACAGAGAGAACAAAGCAGTGTATCAAATAAATAAAATGTTATTTTCTGATTGTTTCTTTCTAAAGCAATAATAGACACGGCCACCTTCCTCCCTGCAGTGTATACCTGTTTCCTTACTAAGATCGGTTTAAACCGTTAATGGAAATGGAAATCAGCGGGGTGTGGTTGCAACTGACGAGATTAAAAGAAAACCACTGATGTCATGTTTAAACGTCTCTGCTGCTTCATAAAGTTTCACTCAGTTTGACGGTTTAGAAAGTTGCAGTTAAACTGTATGATTAAGAGATTAGTGGGACAAGAAGAGAATAACAGAAATATGGAGATGAACATCAGACAGACAATATCTAAGTCTCAAATGTCTGTTTCATGTCATGTTGTGCAATTAAGGTTTAATCTAAGATTTTAAACATATCTTGTGTGGTTGATAGTAATAACAATAACCTTTAGTTTCTTCCACTCCAGTGATGAGTTCATATTTACACATTGTTTGTGACCAAAACATTGCAGTTCATACTATGAATGTTCTATTTGATTTAAGATAATTTGCTGCACCTTTCTTGTGTAAAACTACCGAAACCACAGGCAGTGCCAGAGAAACCACAGATTAGATGATGTAGTACTGCTACTGTCCAGCCACTAGATGGTGCTAACTAACCATCCAAAGTCAGCTAAAGAAAAGCTAAAGCTCTCAGTAATGAGACGTCACATGTGCGTTCTACACATACTGGCTTTAAAGTTAAGATAATCACAACATTTAGACTAAAAATGCAAAAAGAAAATACATACATGAAGCAGAACTAAAATATTTTCTGCTTAAAGGTCTTTTTATTTTATTGTATGTGTATTTATCAGGGACAATGCACAGTACACGTATTGTACCAGATATAGCTAAAAGCTACTTTTTGTCTGGTTACACAGATAAAAGATCAGTAGTAACCAAAAACGTAAAAACAAAAGCTTTAACATTTATATCTGTGTAGGCCAGTGGATCTCAACCTGGGGGTCAGGACCCTAAATAGGGGTGGCCAAAGCTTCATTGGTGGTCGATCTATATACAAAGTTCCCAGAACAGGAAATAATCTGCTCAAAATTCATCCAAATCACTTGTTTTACACAAACCGCCTGCAGTTACTGAGTTCACTGTTTGGGTTCATTGTTCAGTGTTTAATATAAAATATTTTATAATATATATATATAAAACATGTCACTGAGTCAGTTAATGAATGATAGAAAAGGTCCCTTAAGGAAAAAGGAACCAGTGAACAGTGTAGTTGAAGTTGAGGTAGTTCCTATTGTTTAGTTTCCTCTCGTATCTTGTAATGCAACTAACTTTCATTATTGTTTCAGAATAAAAACACAGTGTAAGAAATCTGTTTATATATATTCTATATTAATATTTTAGTGCTTTTTTACTTTTGTGTATTCGTGGGTGGTTCGGGGCCGGGGGCTCTTGGGTTTATGATTGTAATTTCTGTTTTGTATATGTTTTAATCTGTTGTTGTTGTTGTTACCACCAACCTGACGAGACAGGAGACGTTATAAAGGTTACCGATCAGTGACGAGTTGAACGCAGCAGTGAGTCGTCAGTCTGAGTCCTGATGAAATAACCTGCAGGAGTGTTTATGTGTGTGAGAGAGAGAGACATTCATATTTACTCTCTCTCTCTCTCTCTCTCTCTTATATCTCAATGCATCTCTCTTCACTTAAACACAACACACACACTAACATGCAGACACACTTACATCCATACACACACTTACATTCATACACACACACACTTACATTCATACACACACACACACTTACATTCATACACACACACACACTTACATACAGACACACACACACTTACACACACTTACATTCATATACACACACACACACTCAATCGAACCTTTGGACTCATTTAGCGCCACTGAACATTTATTAGGATTAAAAAGAGTAAACACAAACAATCTTTGTAAAACCTTATGTGACCTGAGCTGAATGTTAAAGCTCCATTAATAAAAGGCTTATAGGTCCCTCACCAAAAAGAAACAAAAACATCCATTAAAGGATCACAAAAGAACCCCTACATTTCTTTAAAAGTACTTTCATGAAGGCGTTCCACAGGGAACCTACTTGGTTCCCCTAATGGATACACCTAAAAGCCTAATTGTCCAAATAAATTGCACATGTTTTATTTTATTTTATTTTTAAAACTTTAGCAAAAGAAAACAAATCAATGGAGATTTACCAGGCTAGCAGCTCGAGTGTTCAGGTAAAACTTCTACACTGTAAAAAAACCTGTAATATTCCTGCAGCTGGGCACCAAAAAATACTGTAAAATAACAGAAAATAACTGACTAATTTTCTAGAATTAAAATACAGTTTTTAGCTTTAATCTTGTGTAATTTATTGTCTTTTTAATGTTTAATTAAAGATATTTACACTGTAAAACCAATGCAATGAACTATAAATACAGGTGAACTCTGTCTTAATACAAATAATCAGGCCTACATTTACAGCAGAGTGCTGTTATTGTTTGATTTTTCAAGAATTTTAAAAGTTATAGAACTGTGATAAAAGTCATTATCTGGGATTTACAGTAATTATTGCTGTTTACACTGATTGGACAGTTTACCAATGCTTCTACACTGATAAACAACATTTAACGTTTCTGTTTTAAAAACTTCCATAATTATACATATTTAAAGATATCTGTCAATTAACAAACAAATCCATGTAAAATTACAGAACAAATACTTTTACTGTTAATTGTCACTAATTTGACAATTTCTTTTGAAAATATTAATTTACTTATTCAATTAATATTAAAGTATTAACAGTTTTAATTGAGTATAACAGATTAATCAATTAAAGAGTAAATATTTGTGGGGGGAAAAAAATTTGATTTTTTCAAAGTATATTCTTTAGGCTTTTTATTGCCTTTATGATAGAGACAGCTGAAGGCAGACAGGAAGAGGGGATAGAGAGAGGGGATGACACACAGCAAAGGGCTGCAGGTCGGATTTGAACTCTGGGCAGCTGCAGCAAGGACTCAACCTCGGTACATGGCTCGCCAGCTCTACCCACTGAGCTATCCAGGCGCCCGATTTTCATCTTTTTAAGTGTAAAAAAAGGAAATTTACTTTTGATTATTTACAGTTCCAGATTTTTCTGGGATTAACCCGTCACCGCCGCTGTGACGAGCTTTCTGAGGGATGGCGCTCTGAACTTGTGCTTCGGCAGCTTCCTATCCAAGCTCTCTGGGATCTTGTTTCAAAATAAAAGTTCCCAGGAGTAAGGAGTGGTTAAAGGGCTGTCTGATGCTCTCTTTCAAAGTAAAAGTCCCCCCGGCTGCTGCTCTGGATTCAATAAGAAGAAATAAATAAATAATATTTTGATCTTCTTCTGTCACTCTCCTTCCTGCTCACTCTTTCAGGTTCATTCAATCGTCATTTCTTTTTCTCCTTCTGTCCTTCCTCTATCCTCTTCCATTTTTTCCTATTTTACAGTTATTTCCTTTCTTCCTCTCTTCTTTTCCTCCTTTCTGTCTTATATCCTTTCTCTCCTTCCTCATTTTCTTCCTTCCTGCAGGTCTTCCTGTCTCCTTTTTAACTCTTCCCTCCTCTCTGCCTTTTTTTCTTCCTTACTTTATTTCTTTTTCGTCCCCGTCCTTCCTCCCTCCTTCCTTCCTATTTCACTCTCTTACTTTTCCTCTTATTTCCTTGATTCCTTTTCCCTCTCTTCTTTACCTCCTTTCTGTCTTGTATTCTCTCTCTTACTTCCTTCTCCATTTATTGCTTCCTTTTCACTTTCCTCTGTCCTTCCTTCCTTGCTATTTGACTCTCTTACTTCCTTCACTCCATATTTCCTCTCCATTTCCTCCTCCTTTCTCTCTCTTTGCTCCTTCTTATTCCATTCCTCTTCCTTACTTTCTTTCTTCCTTCCTTTATCCTTTTTAACTCTACCCTCTTACTTCCTCCCTCCTACCCTTTCCTTCCTTTTTGTCATCCCTCCTTTCTACGGTATCTTTCTGTTCTTTCTCTTGTTACTCTCTTTATACCTCTGTCTCTGTTTCTTTACGTCTGTCTGTCTCTGCCCTCTAACATCCTACCTGTCCTTCGTCAGCAACCTCCTCCTCCTCCTCCTCCTCCTCCTCCCCCATTATCTTCTGTGTTTCCTCCATAGGAGGAATAATGGGATGTAATGTCCTCTTTGATAACACTGACAGGGTTTCTTTCTTCTTCTGTGATACTGTGGCATTAAAATGTGTTGAGATTCTTCTTTTTCAGGCAGATTTCTTCTTTTCAAACGCAACAACTCCCTCCATATTTGTCTCATTCACATTTAATTTGCTTTATGTATCTTCACTCTTTGTTTGTCTGTCTTCTTATTTTTATGCTCAGGGTCCATCAGAAATATTTCTCTCTCTCCAGCCTCCTCTATAGAGCCACAGTGGACTCACCTAAAGAGCTTCTGTGATTCAATAAGCTGAAGGAATAAGGAAGAGAAGGGTTTCTTTCATCCGTCTTTCTAAAGACTGAAACATGTTTCTGGGGTTTTCTGTTCATAAAGAAAATCCTACCTTGGCTCCAGACCCCCAAATCACAGCTCATGTCTCCTCTCAAACTGCTCTGGTGTCGTCTACACTGAAGTGTCACATATATATATATATATATATATATATATATATATATATATATAATAGTTATGAAGTGTCTACAACAGTGGTTCCC